CTCATGTCCTGCTGAATGCCACCTTCTCTAGGAACTCTCAACCGTGTAGACAGAGCTGTAGTCTTGTTTACATGAGCATCGGGACATTTTGACACATTCACTGTCGCTTGCCAAGCCAAAGACCAGGCACTCCCACAGGGAGAGGGTAAAGTACAATCAGAAGCTTCAGAAAACACAGCTGCAGAACAGAGAACCACCCTAACGCTAATCCTCTTAGCCTGACAAAGAGGAAAGGGGCTGGCTGCTAAAAACAGCCCACTAGCTCCCGTACTTGAGGTCACATTGTTAGGGGGAAGTTTCTAATGGGACCGAAAACACCACTATATCACTGTATCTGAAGACTGACAGCTCTGCCCTTCCACGCCCCCCCGTGAGTACAAATAAGTGGTCCACTTTATCAGAATTCCTCACCTTCCATTTCCAGAAGAGGTAAATAGGCCAATGTACCCATCCACAGGAAAGGACTATTTGTTTTATTGTATTACAGAAAAGCAACCAGGGTAAATTATTCACATGGGCTCCACTCTGTTGGCCAACAGCCCGCCCAGTGGCTTCAAGGGTAAAGCTGAGGGAAGCAACTATGGCAGATGATCAGTGAGTGGAAAGTCCCACGAGATCACACCAGCTTGGCCGGGCTGTCCGGAGACTCGGCCAGAGTCTGTTTTACCTTCCGTGCTGTCTTTATGAGTCTGTTTGAAGAATGAAAAAAAAAAAGCAATCATTAAAAGAAAAGATTTCGAGGTGTGGGGCAGAAAGTGGGTATCCTATGTCTCCAGGATCTCTGTCCTTGTGGCTTGACACTCTGTGATTTTAGAACACTGAATTTAAATAAGACCATAACAAACACATTTTATAGAGTAACTTTCACTTCAGACAAATAAAGCATGCATAAATACAAATACTAATAAGCACTGGCCTGCACTCCCAGGTTCACAGAAATAAAACTCGAATAACATACTTCAGACTGTGGCTGTTTTCCCTGAAGCAAATATCACTGTTTGCTATACCCTTTTTCTAGAGTGTTCCCACACCCTCTCTACAAATCATTATAGGAGATAATTAAAAGATGATACAAACACCCAGAACTGTTCCGTCTAACTGTCCCTTCTTCCACCCAGGAAACTGTGCTTAGGAAGAGATGTTCGCCTCTGACTGACCGCTCTGCAAGTTCAAATGGCATTGTTTCCTTCACACTGCCATTTCTTATTTCAATTTCCCAGACTGCACCTGTCTTTCACGTTTTGAAAGGCTAATCAAGTAATTCAAATAATATAGGAAGGTGGTCCACCTAAATCAACAAATGTATACCCTTACATTCGGTTTGAGAAAAATATCACTACCAACTCTAATTTGAAATATAGCTGTGGCTATTACCGTCCCCACTGGAACTTTCTTTGCTGGTAGAAAGGTTGTTTTGTCTCCAGAGAAAATTGGAAGGCTGTCAAACAATTCCAATACATTGTGTGCCCATCCTTGCCATCCTGACGGTCTGATTTCTTGTTCTGAATACTGTATTTAAGTTAGATGACAGGTTTTGCATTGTAAATTGGCGGGGGAGATTCTTGTGCAACCAGATGTCAATCTTGTTTCCAACACTGAGAGCCCGAGATGTAAATTCTACAACATACTTCGAATTCACTTTCAATAAAATATATTTAGATGCCAAGAAATGATTCTTAATGGGTCTCCTAGGGGGATGTCAACCCCTCAAGTATTTTGAACTGAGGTAGGTCAAACTTAAGATAAAATATATCAAACTTTTTTTTGCTGTGGTCAGAGGGAGGACATGGATCTCTCTGGAGGATCTCTCATCTTTAGGGTTCATTTAAATTTATCATGAATTTTGTATACCCATAAATATATTAGACACATGCATGCACATATATACATGCATCCATGAATATCACTGTACTACTTGGGGGTCTACAGAAAAATAAAGATATCTACAAGAGGAGATTTTAATATAAAAATCCATTCACACAGTTATCTAGGTCAGCAAGTCTCACCAAGTTTGAAGACCTAAATGGTAACATACATTCTCACCCGAACCCAAGAGCCCATTAAGCAGGAATGGTATTTTCTAATTGCAAAAGAATCCAGACATCTTAATTCACACAGAAAGATAATTCGCAATGGGCTCTTCCTCTGACTTTTTGTTCCATTAGGGCCTCCAACAATATCATCTGTATCCACCTACACTAGGCAGGGGCAACTGCTTTAATCAGGACACTACTTTGAATGCCACCTCTGCCAGCGACACCCTCACAGAAATAGTAATGGAGTTTTACTAGCTATGTGTACATCTTAGCACAGCCAAGTTAGCATACAAGAGTCTTACATGACTGCTAATGTTTAAAATAATAGATTTTGAGTAGAAAATAAACTTTCAAATGTGCCAGTTTTAGCCATCAGGGCTGTAGTATAAAATATAACTCAACATTTCAAGAAGTCACTGACAGCTTACATGAAATCATTTAGTACAGCACCCAGAACCTGGCAGAAACCAGGAGTGATACTAAATTTTACCAGTAAGATATGGTCACCAACCAGTCAGGGGGAAAAAAACACCAGCTATAAATATTTAACAGGCTTATTCCAAAGCATAATAGCTAAATAATTCTTGCTAATAAACACCCAATAAATGTTTGAGTGCTTGCCTAGTGTGCATGAAGACCTAGGTTTGGTCTCCAGCACTGCTTAAACCAGTGTGATGATATGTGCCTATAATCCCAGTGCTCAAGAGGCAGAGGCAGGGGGATCAGAAATTCAAGGTTAGCCTTGGCTGTATAATGAGTCTGAGGTTAGCCTGGGCTGCGTGATCTTTTGTTTCTTTCTTCTTCTTTTTTTAAAATAAAAGATAGCAGTTGGCATAGAATTTGCTCAAACTGTAGCTGTTGACTAGTTGGTCCAAGTTGAATAAACATTTGTGTAACTTATTTTGTAGTGTATAGTCATTTTTTCACATTTATACTTCTTTTATTTTAGTGTGCATGAACACTTCCATGAAATGCATGTGGGAGTCAGAGGACAACTCTGGAAAGCCAGTTCTCTCCTTCCACCACTGTGATTCCAGAGACTGCATCCGGTACTTTTGCCCTCCGAACCATCTAACTGGACCTCCAAAAATTTCTTACACACACACACACACACACACACACACACACACACACACACACACACACACTTTATGCATCCATCTCACTGGTCCTGGACGACTACAGAAACTTTCTCCCAAGAATTGGAAAATAAGTAGTATCTCCCTGAGATCTGAGCTCTGAAATGCATTTTTACTGGGCAAAACCACTTTTCTAATGGCTAGAAAGCCTCCACATGGTAAATAACTGGTTGAGTACTCTAAACAAAGCTCATATGATGATATTATGTTAAGTTTGTGACGCATCTAAAGTCAGTGTGTGGGGGTTTGTGAATCAACAGAACCACCCTAGGGAAAGAGGGCTGTGTAGCTTAGGGTGTCTCACAACTGCCTCTTACGACAGGAGCCTCCACAAAAACACGGTTTGGGGCTTTTTTTTCCTGAGATGAACTAAAAACGGCTTTGATTTTAGCCAACTTTCCGATTGGGAGTGAGGGTCTGTTTCTGTGACGTTCTTTCTCACTACAGATTCTTAAGTTTACCTTCTCCTATTCAAACCAGTCCCATGTGTATTTCAATTTATCCAAATTAGCCACTTGGGGCCTGATGGCCTCCTAATAAGGATGGGGGGGGTAGGTTGCAGGGCACAATGCCAAAAGACTACATAAGTCATGAATGCCTCTTCAGCCTGCCACAGGCCTACAATTCTAAGAAAGTCTCAAATATCCTAGACTTTGCTCTATACACTGATAAAGTATGTGTAATAATTCTTCCAAATATGGTGATTTGGTGTGGAAAAGCTTGTGAAACGATGTCTTTGTTACAAATGAGTTTCTGCGTTTTTAGAGCAGGAAGGCACAGCCCAAACCAATGCCCCAACACACTCCTTGCCCTCAAGGACACCCTTACCTGCTATCTACAAATGTCTACACACACCCTGAGCTAAAACCACACGACAGTCTCTTTGATGGACTCTGAGTTCATGTATTTCTTTTGATGGCCAGTGTCCCTCTCACAACAGAATCCTTTTCATTTTATTTCCTCACGTTGTTTTAAATCCTGAGAACACAGCCACGGTGTATGAATAATGAAGCTGCCATGTGTCTACAGAGGTCTCATCACATACTTAATAATACAACGATTGTCACACTGCAGTGTGGTGATAATTTAGAAGTGGAGAAACAGTCACAAAGACTGACAGCCATATTATATGAAATTTCACTTCATTCAGTTCTCAGGGAAAATTGTGCTGTTTTGTTATTATTGAACTTTCATTTTCACATAAAAAAACTGATATTCATGAAAGTGAAGTCACTGAAAAAGAGATGAAGTTAAACCTGGAAAAGAGATCTTAGGATGCTTTTCCTGTACTTTAAGAAACTTTACACCACTACCCTCAACATACCTGGGTGAAACACAGGCCCATGCCCATAACCTCAAGGACAGCTAGAAGGTATTTTTGGTTATCTAACTGGAGCATCTACTGATCTCTGCGTGGAACCAAGGATGCTGACAATTAAACTTCCCACTGTGTGCCCAAACAAACACAGGACAGCCCCCACCCCAAACAACTGTCTGGTCCCAAATGTCATTAGTGCATTGACTGGGAAAACATGCTAGAAAGTCCCTCCTGCAGCTCTCCGTAATCCATGCACCTTACCTGTTACATTTTTACACACAGCCTTTCTCACCATTCCATACTTGGGTGGTTAAAGAGAGCCATGTGGTCAAACAGAAACACCAGAGGATGGTCAAAAGGAAGCCTAAACAGATTTTATCAGATTGTTCTCCTAAATTAAAAGTACTAACTCAAAGGGGTCTTGATAAGGAAAGTACTGAAACTACAGATGTACAGGTTGGGAAATTTTTAAAGAGAGTACTTGAAATTTGCGGATAATGATAAGCATTTGGGACCAGCATAAACTCATTGTTTTAAGTACACAAATACAAGATGAGTTATGTTAAAGCTATTTGCCTATTAAAATTTCACACTTGAAATATTTAGATATGTTAAGAGACCAAGAACCACATTTCCCAAGCTTTTTTTTTTCCTTTTTCTTTTGTTAGCAAATAAAGAAGGCGCAGTGTCCATGGTGAGCAGCTGTAAAGTGGTTTGCATGTTTCTCATCTTTTGGAGAATTAGATGGACCTTCCACACTAAGTCTTAGTAAACAAGGGAGAGAGCAACTGTGTCGGTTTGAATGCAAAGCATCCCCCACAGGCTCACGAGTTTCAACTCTTGATTCCCCTGTAGGTGGCGCTGTTGGGGAAGTTGTGGCACCTTTAGAGGGTGGAGCCTTGCTGGAGGAAGGCTGTCACTGGGGGTGGACTTTGAGAACATGGGCAGCTTGACTCCACTTCCAGGTTAGTTTCTCTGCTTTGTGATTGCAGTTGAAGACACGGTCTCTCGGCTTCCTGTTGTGGCTACCTGATGCCTTCCTGTCCATTATGGACTCTTCCTCTGGAACAATAAGCCAGAAAAGGAACTCTTCCTCATTATGCTTCATCACAGCAATAAAACTTAACTAATACAGTGACAGAAAAGCTGTCCTCTAGCTTACACACCTGCTCACACACACATGCATGCACGCACATACACACATATGCACACACACCCGTGCGCACACACACCAAGTAATGAAATCTTCTTAGTCATAGTTTTTTTTCATTTTTACTATGAAGTAGCTTTTGAAAGTTAGCCTAGGGCCCTTTTCAACTCTGGGAAGCCCCATCTAGAGTTATGAATCAAAGCTGTGCAAAAATTAGCTGGTGAGCCAACATGCTAGACCTTCTGCTTGTCCTGTTCTCTAAGGACAAATATTTTGAGGTCACACATGGACGACCTCTAAAGACCTGGCCGGGGGAGTGTCACTGCCTTTAACCAGTGCTCGGGAGGTATAGTGGCTTTGGCATAGCTGTGAAAGGGCAAATGTAATTGGATTTGAAAGTCCCTACTTTGCCACTGCACTAGGACAAGGTCCCTTCATGCTGGCCCAGATGTCCTCACAGGGAAATCAGAGCAAGACGGAAACTCTACGGGGAGGAGCTGAGGACAGTAGGTGAACACGAGTAGACCTGGGCAACGGCTTCTCCGCAGCTGCCCTCACCTGGTCTCTGGCTGTGAGAGTCTTCAAGGGAGAGTCCCTGCCAAAAGCCGCAAGAGTGACTCTCGCCCTTTAAAAAACTGCTTTACATGTGAGGGAAAGCCATGTACTCAAGAAGTAGGAGGTCAGAATACCCGATAAGGGAATAAAGGATGGAGTGAGTGGCTAGTGGCTAAGGGTCAGAGAGCTGCAGGGTTCAGAGAGGCCCAACCAAGATGAAGGCGGAGCGCCGTCACACTGGTGAGGCGGGGTCTCTGATGTTTGTTTGTTTGTTTGTTTTTTTTGGTTTTTTTTGGAGGCTGTCCTGGAACTCGCTTGGTAGACCAGGCTTGGTCTCGAACTCACAGAGATTCGCCTGCCTCTGCCTCCCGAGTGCTGGGATTAAAGGCGTGTGCCACCACCGCCCGGTGAGTCTCTGATGTTTTATGAACTATGGGTGAAGAACTGCCTAGAGTCAAGACAGCATTTTGGAGTAGGTTTCCTGTCAGGGACCAGAGAAACTGTGGCAGAGGCAGAGGTCCTCCACTATGGACATTTTGCCAGGCAGGGTTCACAATGAGGACTGGGTGATAGATGAGTTTGTCTGCCTTGTCTCAGTCTTGGGGTGCTCAAGAGGAGGAGGCCACATCTGCTGTGACTGATAAGCTTATAGCGCTGGTGTTTCTCACGGTGTTTATATAATCACAGATATCATTATTTATTGGCACACACAAGTTACTATCAGTGTGTGCCTCCTGGTGTGCTGGCAGACAATGGTTGTTCACATCTGTAAACAAGACAGAGAGTCATTTTCTCTTGGCATTTCTATTCAAAATGGAGTAATCTAAGTCAAAACATTTCCCTTACAAAGGGGGGTGACTTGGAGGTAGGAACAGCTTAAGAGCTACAGCCATACCCAGAGTGATCCAGGGCAAGCTCAGCCTGTTCTTCAGTGCCAGGGATAAGAGAGCAACCTCACTTCTAGAAAACATTAGACATGTCCCAAAGCAGGGAAAAGTCCTCATTTTACAAAACAACAACAAAGGTTGGTACCTAACTTTCCAATAGTTACATTGTACACAATATAATGGTACAAGATCCTCACATTATAAAGTTAGAGCTTTCCCTATATGCAAGGACTACTTTATTTTAGAACATGCATACACACAATGTGTAACATTCATACATTAAAGGAGAAATACCTCACAACCATCTTAATAGATGTGAGGAATTTTTTGATCAATAGAACATTAATCAGATGTTTAAAAAACCATCTGATGAATTTGTAATTCATGACAACATTATTGTTAACCTGATAAGGAAATCAAAAACATAAATAAATGGTTTCTTAAGTGTGAAGCTTTAATGGGTTGACAAGATGACCCATTAGGTCTCCTTCAGCACTAACGGATGTGGCTTCCTAGGAAGAATGGGAGGGTAGTTTTGGAGCATAGACATGTTTGAAAAAAGGTTTCATGGAGACCTGGGGTGAGAAGCATTATATATAAGGAGATAGCATGAGAAGGTGGAGCCAAGAGGGCCCTTTAATAGCAAGATCAGGGGTACAGCCAGGAATCAGGAAGGGATCCACTTTGAAGGCTGAGCTTTGCACCCTTCTTCCCACTCCCCCTTTCCAGAAACCAGTTCCAGTGTCACTAAGTCCCAGGAGATTCTGCCTTCCCTCACACAACAGGTGACTTTGAGTGATGGTTGGGATAAGCCCAGAACCCCAGCAGAGTCACATGTGGGAACCAGAGACTATGGAGGTATGGAAGGGTGCGTTAATGAACAGGAACTCATTGTGCAGTTCCTCCACCCAGAATGCACATGCTCTCATCTGAACAAGGGCCCTGCTGCTAAAACTCAACCCATGGGGTCTCAGAAAAGACCCATCAGTGCCCACCTGGCCTTTCTTTCTCTCGTTATGTTTTCACTACATGCCTGTAATCTAGGAAGTCCCAATGGGAAATGCAGACCTACAGGACAGAAGGTAGAAGGTTTGGAATGCTGTGTGGGTCTTGGATGCTATAAAAAATTGAGTCTTTCCCCATACAGCAGCTGAGGCCCAGTTGTTCCAAGGCTGTGGAGCATGTGGTGTAAAACAGGAGTTAGGTCGGGGAACGGCTGCTCCAAAGGGTTTACAACCTGTGTGTGTTTAACTGTGAATTCATGTGCCAAAACATTCTTAGATGGTGCCTAAATCTCAGACAGATGTCTAGGGCTAGCTAAACTCTTTTCCTTTGTTCATTTTTCTTTTCATAGTTATGGGGCTTCTAGGACTAGCTGAAACACCGAACCATAAGCATTCACCATCTATGTTATTAAATACCATATTTATTTTATGACATTTCCATTATCACAACAGTATATATTAAAAGATGAGACATCCACGGTCTCTCTGAAGAGGCATCTAGAATTTGGCATCATGATGGTGCTCTGAGGCTTTTATTTCTACAACTAAATGCTTTATATTTTGTAAGATGAAGTTCTGGAAGAAAATATCTGCTCCTGCATGGGCAATGGGTTGAAAGAGAATTCAGTAGGATTCCAACTGCACCGACTGTGTTTCATACATTTGAATTCTTTTCTAAAACCTGGAAAAACTGGGCTGGGAATATTTTGTCCAGTTAGTAAAGTTCTGGTTGTAGAAACATAAGGACCTGGTTTGGATCCCGAGCATCCACATAAATAGTTCACCACAGCAGCCAACTCCTGTGGTCCCAACACAAGGAAAGGGGAGGCAGGAGGATCTCTATAGCTTGCTGCCCAATTAACCTAGTCAAATCCAGGTTCAATGAGAGACCCTGTGTCAAAAGATAAGGTAGAAGAAGAATAAGAAAGACACCTAATGTTGATCTTTGGCCTATACACACACACACAGAAGAACATAAACATACACATAGTTAAACAGGAAACACTAAAAACACCTGCAATCCATGTGAGCCTTCTGTCAGGAAATGCATGCTTCATTAACAATCTATCTGCACGGTGGCTTTTTTAAAAAACCCAGTAAACTCTGCGGCAGGACAGGGATGGTTTTCATTTGCACCTGACACTAGGATCATTTTTAATAGTGTGAGGTTCGGTGGGCTTTAAAAAATCTCTTGTTATCCTAAAACTTTAGCCTGTTTTTAATTAAGACACCCATATCGGCTGAAAAATGTGGCCTATTTGCATAGAAATAACTATTGCAAAGCAAAATCTTAATTTTAAGCCATTTTAATCACTTTCCTAGACACACTGGTAATTACCTCTGGTTGACATCAGTGAAGTGCTTTCTGGCAGGGCTTGAATATATCCATATCAATCGAAGTTGTCCCCAGTGCAAGAAGATGGGCTGCCCAAGATGACTCCGGGAGTGGGGCAAATCACATTTTTCATCAGTGCCTAATAATTAGCAGAAATTCATTACCCATTGTTTGTCTGAGCCTCAACAATATCAACTTGTAATTACTGGTAGCTTAGGGCAAGGTAAATATTTGATGTGATGCCAGTAAATCAGTTTTTAGTAATACACGAAGTTAGCTGAACATGTATTTCTTTAGCTTTTAATAAGATTATAAAGCATTAGCAGCAAAGGTGAGGTTGAGCCCTCCCCATCTGCTACCAACAAGCAGCAGGAAGGACATTGCCTCGGAACAATGAGTTAATGAACCCCTTGGGGACATGGCTGTCTGCTTGGGTTAAGAACAGGAAATTGGTTTTAGCAAATTGAACGCAGGAGAAATAGTTGCAATGACTTCATCACCAATGTCTATCTCCAACTCCTAAGCTAAGCTGTGGCCTAGCTTTGATTTACATTTCTTTCTCTCTCTCTCTCTCTTTTTTAAGCTTTTCTGGTGGTTTGATAGATATTTTTAAAATTCTCTTTATGTAATGTATGTGTATTCTATAGCAATCCCCTCCACAGTATAGATAGATGCCAGAGCCAAGTAAAGTACATGGGATGTTTAGCAGTGGAAAAATTGATAAGTGTGTGCACATCTCACTTGATCCCAATACAGCTCTTTAAGATAGAGCTGGCGGGGCTACACCCACAGGAAGAACAAGAGAACTGTGTGTCAAGAGTGTGAAGACACTGACATGAGGCCATCGTGGTGAACCAGGCTGAGAACACAAGTCATGGAACCCTAGTATAGGACTCTTTGTATGACCCTAAATTTGCTTGATGGTCAGTGTCCAGCAGTAATGACCAGGGGCAACTGATCCAGGGGGGTCTGGTTCATTGCACTACACCAAGGGGCACCATGACAGTAACTGTCCATAACTCCCCATACAGTTAGTCTTAACCAACTTGACTAAGCCATAGAATACCCAGATTTCCGGTTAAACATTATTTCTTGTGTCTGTGTTTCTGGAAGAGGTTAGCATTGGAATCCACAGACTGGGTAAAGTAGATGGCCCACCTCAGTGTGGCAGACTGTCTTAGGGTTTCTATTGTTGTGAAGAGACACCATGACCACAGTAACTCTTATAACTCTTATAAAGGGAAATATTTAATTGGGGTGGCTTATTTAGAATTCAGAGGTTCAGTCCGTGTCACCATGATGGGATATGGCAGCATATAGGCAGACATGACGCTAGAGTTAAGAGTTCTTACATCTTTACTTCCAGGCAACAGGAAGTAGTCTGAGATACCACTTGGGGCTTGAGCATATATGAGACCTCAAAGCCTGCCTCCACAGTGATACACTTCCTCCAACAAGTCCATACCTACTTCAGCAAAGCCACACCTGCCAATAGTGCCATTCCCTCCAGGGGCCATTTTCTTTCGAATCACCACACAGGCCTCATCTAATTCACTGAGGGCTTGAAAAGGACAGCTGCTGCCAAGGGCTGTATCTGGTTCCATAATTCAACAGCAGCTGGGGTCTGTGTTTAATGTCTGTGGCCTGTGTCACCCCAGGAGGCCTTAGGAACCAAGCAAGATGAAATCAGAGGCCTATACTAAGCCGCTCCCTCCTCTCAGTACTCCAGGGAAGCTGGCCTTACCTCTTAATGCCTGATATATCAAGAGAGCTGGCCCCTGCATTTGAGAGAGAAGGCCTCCACCCCTCATCACAGTCAAGTGTGAACCCACCCTGAGGGAATGTATATAGAGGAGCTGACTCCACCCTCTCACTGAAGCAGGCCTCAGTGGCCAGGGCTGACCAGCTTGGCCACCACCCAGGTCCACAGCTGTACCTTGGGTTGACCCACCCTAGAATCTACTCCATCTGGAACCTGCTGGAGCTTGTGAAGGGACTAGTCCTGTGGAGCAATACCCAAAAGATCTCCAAGACTTTGGGCAGCCACCAGATATCCGAGAAGAGCTCCGGTGAGGATCCAGTGGTGGTGTACCAGGCACCGGAGGCCTTGAACCAGAGCATTTGTCAGGAAAGTTGATGGGACAAAGGGGTAAACTATATGATACACTGAAGCTCCCGGTGCCACCAGGAGGAATGAAGAGGTGTTGGAGAGGCAGGAAAGAAGGAAAAGCAAATAGATTTTTTTTTCTGTTCTTATGGTTTTTGTTTTGGTTTGGAGTTTTTGATTTTCTTTTTCTTTTTGCTTTTGTTTGCTTGCTTGCTTACTTTGTTTTGTTTTCTTTGGGTTACAACAGCGATGAGGGGAGGATATAGGGGAACCTGGAGGTGAGCAGTTGAGGTGCATGATGTACAACTCCCTAAGAGTCAATAAAGAAGTTAAGAGAATTTAGCTCTCAGATCTCCTGGCCTGGGGACGGCAGCCAGGTCGACTCAGGCCTGGACAGATGACCAAGCAACCAGGAGCCTGCAGAAAGAGCTGGTCCACTTCTGCCCACACTCAGGGCAGAGGGCAGAGGGAAGCTCCGGGTCTCCATCTTAGGCCCGAATTCTCCCACTCGCCCTCTCTTGGATCTCCTGGCCTGGGGACCACAGCCAGGTCAACTCGCCCCCAGGCAGACGGCCAAGCGACCAGGAGCCTGCAATGAGAGTCAGAGAGTATTGGATTTGCTTGCACCCACCGAAAGGGAACCCTGGTTGCCTACCCACCAGGAGAGGAAGAGGATCTTTCTACACCCACTGGGAGAAGTGATGGGAAAGAGAAAATATAAGAACACACTCTGCAACCAAAAAATGAATATGACACCACCAGAGTCTAGAGATTCTACACCAGCAAGACCTGAACACTTGAATGCAGATGAAGCAGAAGTGAATGACCTTAAAAACACCTTCATGAAAATGATAGAGGCCCTCAAAGAGGATATTAGAAAATCCCTTAAAGAAATGGAAGAAAAAACAAACCAAAATATCCAGCAAATGCAAGAAAGGGATGGAAACACTAAGCAAAAATTACAAAAAACAATTCAAACAGTGCAATAGTTGAAAGGTGACATGGAGACAATAAAAAAACACAGTCTGAAGGAATGCTGGAAATAGAAAAACTGGGAAAACAGTCAGGTACTACAGTGCAAGCATAACCAACAGAATACAAGAGATGGAAGGAGAATCTCAGGTGTTGAAGACACACTAGGAGAAATAGATTCATTGCCCAAAGAAAATCTTTTTTTAATTTAAATTTAAATTAGAAACAAGGTTGCTTCACATGTCAATTACAGGTCCCTCTCCATTTCCCTCCCCTCCTCCCGTGCCCTTCCACCAACCCCCCCCCAGACCAAAGAAAATCTTAAGTCCAACAAATCCTTAACACAAAATATCCAGGAAATATGGGACACCATGAAAACACCAAACCTAAGAATAATAGGTATAAAAGAAGGTGAAGAAACCCAACTCAAATGGGCAGAAAACATATTCAACAAAATCATAGAAGAAAAATTTCCCAACCTAAAGAAAGACATGCCAATGAAGGTACAAGAAGCTTACAGAACACCAAATAGAGTGGATCACACAAAAAAAGTCCCCTTGCCACATAAGAATCAAGACCCCAAGCATACAGAATAAAAAAGAATACCTAGAGCAGCTTAGGAAAAAAGTCAAATAACATATAAAGTCAAACCTATCAGAATTACACCTGACTTCTCCATGGAAACTCAGAAAGCCAGAAGGTCCTGGATAGATATTCTATCAACACTAAAAGACCACATATGCCAGCCCAGACTACTATACCCAGCAAAGCTTTCAATCAATATAGATGGAGAAAACAAGATATTCCGTGACAAAACCAGATTTGAACAATACATATCCACAAACCCAGCCCTACAAAAAGTTCAAGAGGGCAAACTCCAATCCAAGGAAGTTAACTACAACCAGAAAAACATAGGCAATAGATAATCCCACTTTACCAACAGCCAAAAGAGAAAAGGGGTGGAAATCCACATAAAATTCCACCAACAACAACCATTCCAAAACAAACAAAAATGAGTAATCAAAGGTAACACTCAACACAAAGGTCATTAATATCCCTCAATATTAATTGTCTTAACTCACCCATAAAAAGGCACAGGCTAACAGAATGAATTCGAAGACAAAATCCATCCTTCTGCTATATACAAGAAACACACCTCAGTTTCAAAGACATATGTTACCTCAAAGTTAAGGGTTGGGAAAAGATTTTCTAATCAAACAGACCCAAGAAACTAACATGGGTAGCAATCCTAATATCTAACAAACTAGACTTTAAACTGAAATCAATCAAAAGGGATGAAGGAGGTCATTTCACACTCATCACAGGAGAAATCCACCAAGATGAAGTCTTGATTCTGAACATCTATGCCCCAAACACAAAGGTATCCACATTCATAAAGAAGCATTACTAAAACTCAAACCATGCATAAAAACCTCACACACTTGTAGTAGGAGACTTCAACATCCCATTCTCACCACTGGACAGGACTACCAGACAGAAACTTAACAAAGAAGCAAAGGAACTAATTGGGTTTGACAGACATCTATAGAACATTTCATCCAAACACAAAAGAATATACCTTCTTCTCAGCGCCACATGGAACCTTCTCAAAAATCCACCACATGCTTGGCAACACAGCAAACCTCAACAGGTACAAAAAAATTGGAATAACTCCATGTATCTTATTAGACCACCATGCTTTAAAGTTAGAATTCAACAACAACACAAATTGCAGAAACCGTACAAACTCATGGAAATTGAATAATGCACAATTCCAACACTCCTGGGTCACAGAAGAAATAAAAAAAAGAAATTAAAGACTTCCTAGAATTCATTGAAAATGAAGACACAACATAACCAAATTTATGGTACACTTTGAAAGCAGTACTAAGAAGAAATTTCATACCACTAAGTGCCCACATGAAGAAACTGGAGAATAGTCACACTAGAGAATTAACAGCACAACTGAAAGCTCTAGAACAAAAAGAAACAAACTCACCCCCAGAGGAGTAGATGCCAGAAAATAATCAAATTGAGGGCTGAACTCAAAATAAAGTAGA